AATCCTTCCAGTCCCTATTGCCATTGTTAACTGGAGTTATCTGGTTGTTAGGCAAGGCAACTTCCTGCCTGCTTCCCACAACCAAAGTCAGGGTGGAAATGAGCAGGAAATTGCAGATGTCAGTCCCACAGCCAGATAAGCAGCTGTTGACAAGTAGGTGAAGAAGTGAGGGGGTTGGATATATACAAAGGAACATCAGGGAAGGTGTGCAATAGGTACAGTGTGATGAGGATCATGAGAGTGGAAAGGGATATACAAGAGATGATGCGCAAGAGTGCAATGGGGAGTACGAAAGGCATTGTGCAGGTCAGAGATGGTGTGTGGAGGTTCAGCATGAGACATGGAGGGTAAGAGAATAGCCAGCATGGCACAAGTATGGAGGGGGAATTCGATGAGGGTGACTTAACCCATCGACATGTGGCCTTTCCATTGATTTTCTGGGGAAACTGGCAGGAAAGGGAGCAAACAGTGATCACATGATTGGAGGGTTTTGGTAACCACTCAAATCACTTGCCTGCAAAGTTGCTGGGACGTCTGGAATGCCAAGACAGTCATAACTACCATTCATTCAGCGCTGTTGTAACTGTGAATGGCCTCTGACTAAACAGTCAACACAACGTGAATGGGACAGGAATTTCTCTCTCTAAGTGATGTGACCGTAAAGCGCAACATCATGTGACTTAGCAATAGCAATCCTGACAGTTCCCATTGCCATTTTTAATCTAATGTCACTGGTCGTTACCAGTGACCTCACCGTGGTCACTGGTAATGGAGAGACAGAGAAATCACTGTGATGCAAGCCATTCCCAGCTTTGTCCCTCCCAGCCATGAGCCTCAGGAAGGAATTGCATCTTCTGCTTCCTTTAGATCCTCACAACCCTCTCTCCTCCTGCCCGCCCCCAAATCTGCCCTTGTAGCCACTCTGCATTAAAATACTTCTCAGTGGTAGCTCTGGAGTTGAAGGGCTGGGGCTGAGTCTTGAGTATTGTCAGCAAATTGCCACCAGCCCCAGGCCTCTACTTCAGCCCCGGCACAGCTATCTCCTCAAACCCGGTGCCACAACCAGCCATCTCAGCACTCTAGCCCAGCTTCCCTCTGCAGACCCTGCCATGCTCAGAGGATATTTGCAGTTTTCCTCTCATTGCTGGTAAGTATGGCTAGCCTGGCCATAGGGGAGGCAGCTGCTGGCTGCACTAGGCCTTCTTCCCAAGGCTGGTTCTCTCCAAGGCCACTCTCCAAATAGTGCATACTGTTCTTCCCCCACAAAAATATGTGTCATTCTATCCTGAGAATAGAATATTCTGCTCCTGAGGCACACCGAAACGTTCATGAGAATAGTACGTGCAATTTGGAGAACAGTGGGTGCAGTCTTCTTGCAAAGGTTTCAGAAGGTCTCAAAAGTCTTCCGAAATTGCAAGAACAGTATGCACTATTTGGAGAAAGGTGTGGTTATCTGTGGTTTATTTGCAAGCAACCTCAACAAGGAGACCTGGTGTGTTCAGCAACTCCCCACACATGCTAAGTCGGATGTGCCTTATCAGCAGGAGGAGGAAGACAACGGAGATCAACTGGGGGTGGCAGGATTGTGAAACTTGAGGCAGCACACCTTGATGGTGGCACAGAGATAAAGGGCATCAGCCCTACAGCCCCAGTGACACGGAGGAGTGTTGCTGTGCATAGCAGTAAAAGGGACAGAGATAGGGAGAGATAAGCAGGTGGGGGAGAATTGAAGTAGTCATACAGTAAATGTGGGTACACTGTCAAATGGCCACAGAGGTGCTGCAAGGGGTGTAATTTCAGGGACCATTCATTTAGTGCTGCCATAAGTCTAAATGGTTGGTGAATGAATGGTGATTAAGTGAGGACTATATTTACAAATACAAATTAACAAATTTTCTCTGCAATATGAAAAATAGCAATTTACAATGGGGTGATCTCTCTTTCAAAGCAGGTAGTTAAAGTAATAAATTGGAAACTGATGGGGAAATCCCAAAATATGTTTTTATGTCAGTAGACTATAGCCATTGGATTTGTTTTTCATTCAATATTCACCAGTTTACTTAAAGCACATAAGACTGGTAGTTAATTTATACCTAATTTCAGATCTATAACTACCTTGATATATTCAGGAAATCTGAAACTATGAGGAAAATTTCTCTTCCTTTTGCAGATCAGGATAACCTGGAACCCGCTGATCCAGGTAAAATTTATTCTCAATATGTTTAAACTTATCATCAAAGGCCAGGCTAAGTACAAACTCAGGAAGAGAAAGTTCTTTCGGCACAACAAAATGCTGTATGCCCACTATAGCACAGGGCATTTTAAACATGTGAAACCCAAGATTAATATTTAGGAGTTCAGATGAACCCTCACATGAATTTATTTCAAAGCTAATAACTTAGAATCAAGAAGGATTTTAAAGTCAAAAACATTTCTGCCTACACCCTAATAAAGATACCAAATATTGTGGAAAAGTAGTTTAATCATGTGGTGATTAGCAGTCCTCACAAGAGCACAGAGACGTCCTGATCAAAAAGATCTGTGCTTGGCCTACATACTCTTACTAACAAGTAAGCAGAAAAGGTTGGAAATAGGCTTCAGCACATACACTAGAAAAGATTAAAGAGTTCACAGGAAAGTCCAGATTAGAAAGCCACATGTATGTTCTTTCTGCTTTGCACACCTCCTGTCAAAAAACAAAAAGGGGGGGTTTGCCTCAAAGTTTTCTTTGTTACATTAAAAAAACAATCCGCTTTGTCTAATAAATTTTAAATGTTAGCTAAAACTGTTGATGTTTGATGATTATGAATACCTTTCCAGTATCTCAATAGATCCTGTATAGTATATACATATCTGCGGATCAAACTCTTTCAGAAAAAAAAGGAGAACTGCACAACTAGAAACACTAAAAGAAATGTATTTCAAGATGCTTAATTATATTAAGCCAGCAGAGGGCATTCTAGTTAGGTTAAAATGCAGGGTTCTTTTTCCCTAACAATCAATCATGTCTCACTTATATTACAATAATTGAAAATTGTAGGTGTGTGTATGTGTTTACACTGTGTGTAAAATCCCCTCCTCATCCCTATGGATAGTACGTGCCTTCCTCAATCTTGGGTTCTCTACCAGAGATCTTGGAATTGGAGGGTTCTGCACAGTATATTAGCTGTTCCTAACTCTGCATTCTTCTGGGCGGAGAGCTCTGATGTTCCTGGATCTAGTGGAATCACTCTTCCAGCTTAGGATCACAGCCCCAAGTGTTCCTATTACCACCACTGGGACCACTTTGGCTTTACTTTCCACATTTTCTTTAGTTTTTCTTTCAGCCCTGATACTCTTCATTTCCATGCTGCTGTGGCTTGGCACCACTATATCACCACTTCTGGGCTTTGTCTACTACTATGATGTATGGCTGATTGGCAAGTAACTGCCTGTGGAGTTGGAAATCCCACAGGATTTTTTTTTATTTTTTTGCCTGTTATTATGCTGCTATAATCAGTACCTGGTGCTATCTTTTAGTCTGGTCCTTTCCAGGCAAGATTTCCCAATGTTTTCCATTCCATGATCTGTCACTGGTATATCCCATGCAGGACCTAGTCTTGCCATGGCATTTCCTCTCTTTGATCTTCCTCCTATGCTCCTGTCTCATACATACTTTCAGTAGCTCATCTTTGGGTGCCATCTCACTAATGGACTCCTGGATGCTCTGGGTTTCATCCAGGTCGGTGGGTTTGACAATCCCTGCTTGCCCTTTTTTCAGCTAGTCTACAGACTCTGGATTTTGGACTTGAGGTGGAAACTGCTGTATACTGTGAAGATCAGCTTGGCAGCTTCCATGTTTTCCTTTGGCTAACTCACTATACTAGAAGGCTATATGATGGCTAGCAGGACATATGATCGTGTGAATCTTGTTTTTACCCCTGAACTAGCTCTTCAAAACTACTTTTATCCTTTGATGGTATTTGGATGCTGCTGCCTTCCTCCTCCTCATGGTTTCCACATGACTGTGGGACACCAATGTACTTATAGCTGGTTTGTATGTCTGCTATGTGGCCCACTGGTAGTTCCATCCCCATCAGTCTTAAATACCTTCCTTCTTTTGATTACTGTCTAGTTACACTTCACTAGGTTGAATGACATCGCAGTGTCTTCATTGTAGATCCCTATCAGGTGAATCAATGTCTCATCCACTCTTAGCATCCACCTTGATGTTCCACTCTTGAATTTGTATCAGAAGAACTTGAATCACGAAGCAACAGAAGAGTGTGTGTGTGTTTGTGTGTGTGTGTGAGAGAGAGAGAGAGAGAGAGAGACGGAGGGAGGGAGAAGTAGTGGGACCATCAAATAGACAAAGTAATAGAAAATTAGCAGCAGAATTCAGATAAACACTTGCCATAAAACACCTCAGATTTGAAAAGTGTTGATAAAGAACGACTTAAGTGTGGATAATGGACATGGCAGTACGCAGAGACAGAAGAAGAGAAAGAACCAGAGAAGATAACAAAATAAAAAGACCCGAAAATAGAAATGTGGCAATGAAAGCAAAGAAAGTACCAACCGTAATAGGCGCTTAGGGTGCAATTCCAAAACGTTGGAGCACCACTTGAACACCATCCACATGGCCAAATCACTGTCAATTGCAAAAGGCACCTTTACTTGGAACAATATACATCCAGTGACAATATATTTAACACCATCAAACAATACCTGCCTGTCCCCGGTCCTTTGGTATGACTCAATAGGTAGGTTAAAAATAACAAAACCTGTCTAAATATCTGGCTGACTTTGTGACCAACCAAAATTTTATGCCATTTGATTTCTGATACTCTGAACAACTCACAAGTAAGAATTACTTTCTAGCTAGTCTTTAATATATACTTTTTGTGCTTGAAAAGCCTTATATACTATGTAGTAGCTGTAGATAATTTTAAATTGGATAGAGGGGGTCTGGATTCAAATCTCACTCAGCCATGCATATTCTTCTTACCTTTCCTAATCCTCCCTCTCCATGGTCTTTTCTTTGGCCATTTTTAATTCAAAACTGCTTTGCAAGAGAATTCTGGTGGTTTAAAGAAACAGACAATAGATTCCACAGTAAACTAAGAGGAACAGTTTAATGATGCCCCTCTGTTCTTTGTCCCAACAAAGCAGCACTGTTCTGGGACCATGAGCTGAGAAGCCAAACAAACACAGTACGTAATGCTCTTCTTTTCATTCTTATAGATTTCTAATTTATGGACACTCATCCTTCCCTCTTCTGATACAGCAAATAGCTGATTTAAAGCTACACAAACCCACAAGTCACATCTTTTAAAACTTCTGATTACTGGGATTCAACAGTTCTGAGAAAGAAACAAAAGCAAACGCTGCTGCAGATCCAAACTTTAAAATTATGCATAAAACTAAGCAATATAAACCTCTTTGGAGCAGAATTATTGGCAGGAAGAATTTTTATAGTTTCAAGAGATACCTGATTTCGGGAACACAACAAAGGACTGCTTAAACCTTTAATCAGCTTTAACACAATTCTATAGTTATTCCTTATTACCATCATTTGACTAGGAGACAAAAATGAGACAGAAATTATCTTTCTTTAAATTTCTACTGGTGGAAAATACTTTTGTTTTAATCTTCCTGAAATTCTAAAAGGTTCACAGAAGATTGAATTTCAGTTTCTTGTTAAAACAAAATCTGACCTCAAAGCCCTAATGGGGGGGGGGATAATTTTAACTACAACATGTTTCTAATGAGGTTGAAAATATTTCACTTCATATAAATAAAACAACACACAAAAAGGAAACACACACACACACACACACAAATACAAAGTGAGCATCTCAAGTCCTTATTACAGTCCCCAAACAATAGAAAATGTGAGGGTTAAGTAGAGTTTCATTCAGCTAACCTTCCCATACTTGAATCCTTTCCACAATGAATCCAAATTATTTATATTCATACCTAACTTGCATATTAAACTAATTTTCTTTCTTTAATCAGAACTACCCCGAAGCGCCATTATTGAAGAGAGGATAAGAAATATCTTGTATTCAAAGATGATGGCAAGTTTACATGTTGGCGGTAAAACAAGCAAAAGAATTTGCAATTGAGACCAAAGTTTTCCCCCTTGCTTGAACATGCTGTTCTGGAGAGTAAGAGTATGCCGGATGTTGCTCCAGTCTTGTTTCATTAAATTCTACTCTGACCATGCAGTATGAATCTAGTTACGAGAACAGTCGCCCTGTTGGCAACGCTCTGAATGGATGTTCAGGAAAGAATCAGTGACTTCAAATAAGCGAACTGTGCTGTGTATCAGATGAACAAACTTCAGCTATGTTAACAAGACAAATATAAATAAGTCTATGTTCCCGCTCCCCTCAAATGTTTTGCTGATGAAGTTCAGAAATGTACAAATCATGCGAATCCCAACTTCATCTTCACTGAACCATGTTACTGTATAATAAATTGGCTTTAACAGCAGAACTAAAACTCATGCTAAGTTGAATTATAACCGTGGCATTTGCAAATAAGCACCTCTTCTCTTCAGTACCATATGAAGTCTCACTTGAAGGCTGATGCTGTGGACTTTTCCTTTTTGCAAGTTAAGGCTGGGTCTCAGGAGTATATGTGGTTCCCAGAAACTGTAGCTCTCTTTCTCAAATACTGCCCGGAATTAAAGATGGTAATATGAAAGTTGATAATTTTTAAAATGTAACTGCAGGATAATCATATTAACCATACTGAGTATTTATTAAAAGTGGCCTTAAATGAAACAAAATCAAATCCTTTTTTTATCTTGATCCAGCTTCAGTCAAGTTAAAATGTAGCTCCCAGTTCATCAAAGGGCAAATACAGCTCCACACTTTGAAAAAACAAGTATGACTATTTCTAATTTTCAATAGGGGCAGCAAAATTAAAACACTAAATTCTCCTTGTTCCTCTTTCTTGAGATGCTTGAGATTATCAAACCAAGACATCTGACTTCAATTTTCCTGACTAGTCTTTTTCATAATCTCATATAATTTCATAACCCTGAATAGGCTGAGGGTTGGAATGCCTAAGTGTAAGACCAACATGCTTATGTGAAGGTAGTTAGTGGAGAACAACAACTCTGTGTGACTGTGGAGAGACACGGAGCCTGGCCCATCTGATGGTATGTAGGTTACTACTAGAAACATGTACTGACAATAACTTACTTTGGGCCAACAAGTGGGCAGTCTAAAGTTTGATCTGGACAGGGAAGAAGAATTTCATAACAACATGAATTCAGTATTTAAAATATATTTATTAATATTTGTTCAAAATGTCCTTGAATTTTGCTGTTATACCATTTTATGAAACATTGTTAGCAATCACCGCTTAAGACACACTGACACTTTTATCACAAGTAAGTCTCCAGGCTATAACATTAGTAAAAATGAATCAATTCAGTGTGTTTTATCCCAGAAGAGAGATAATAATAATGTTAAAAACTGATCATGGACTAACAGAAACATATTTAACCTAGCCAAAAAAAAAAAAAGGAATTCCAGTGGGTGGCGGAAGGGTCAAGTTATTTTGGCACATGGGACATTATTGCCATAAATTAAATTCTATATTTGCAATCTGTCCTGACAACATTTAATGAGGCAACATATTGATGTACACCAAAATGTATTGTAGTATCAAAAGTCCCAAAGCTCAAAAAGTTAAAAGTTGCTTCTTGAGGATGGAGGAAAGAAAGCTCAGAATGAGCATGTGATATTTGTACCAAGAATACAAAATCTTTTGTAAAAAAAAATCATTCTTTGGGGTGTGGGGGGAACCTTTTCCTTGCCATTTAAAGGAAAACACTTCTTGTTCAGTTGGGCCAGCAAGTCCTTGATTTGAACCTTTTCTTTCTTAAAAAAAACAACCCTTTGTTTTCTGAAAAAGGGCAGATATCTTTTCTACCATTAACTGTTTAAAGTCTGCAATTTCAAAAAGTGTTATGATTTCCAAACAGCATTCTATCCCAAAACATTGGCGGCTGCTAAAGAAGTTAAACAGTTATCTAGCATTTAGTATGGTTTTCTGTTTTTTTAAAAAAATTGCAAAAAATTTTTTTTCTTAAAATGGTTAAAAAACTTTCTGTCAAATAACACATTTTAGTCATATCAACATTTAGCCTGTTCCTTCCCTGATATAGAAAAGCAAAGCTGTAAAGGACATAAGCCAATTTAACATATTATCCAGAATAATCTACTACTAGTCTTCAAGATAAATTCCAAAATACAAGTGTTCAAATTAACACTGAAAATCCTTTAGGCAGATATTGTTACTGCTGCCGCTGCTGCTAATACTATTATAACTACAAGTAATTGGCAGATAAGATACAAGAGAAACTGGAATTTTGATCAGAGGAATTCAAATTAGTATCTGAGACAGAAAATTTCACTGCCTGATTTAAAATTAGTCATCTCCCAGCTTCACTATTTCTCCTTTTGTTTGGATAAAATGAGGGGTTTAATAAAAGTTGTAATATCAATAGTTTTTTAAAATTATATTTAAAAACCCAAGAGTTGTTTCATTTTAAATTCATATTCTGCTTTGAAATTAAATGTAAATTAGTCAATTGAACACTCGTGGAAATGAATTAACTGAACCGAGTTATAATTGGATGTCATAAATAGATCTGATTCTACATAAAAAAGCACTCTAGTCTAAACATGCAAAGATTCTTTTTGTGCCTCTGCTGCATGGCAATTGAACCACATTAAAGTCATTCTCCTTTTATTATTTAAGCACACATACACAGGAATAAAAAAACAAACCTAATCTTTCAATAAGTTATATAGATCAGGTAGTGGCAATCAATTTGCAAAATAGAATTATCAGTGGAATGAATTTGTCCTTGTCCAGAAGGATCCCCAAATGTTTTCCAATGAGTTAGAAAGTAACTTGTTTGGAGACCACAAAGTTTTGTGGTTTGGACACCACAAAGAAATTTGTAGTTTGGAGACCACAAAGACCCATTAATGCAGGGCAAAAACCAAGATGTGAAAGTATAACTGCCATCCTTGAAATAATATCCCCTTGCATCGATGCAACATAGCCAAGTCTTATGTCCGAACTTCATTCATTTTCCCTATATACAATTTAAACTAAGATGAAATACATTTTAATTGTAGACATCAATGATAATAAAATCCATATAGGAAACATTAACTTGCAATTTAGAGCAGTGGAGCAAAGCTTATTTAACCCAGCATAGACATATAGCCTTGCAATTTTATGGCTATCAGTGGCATGATTGCTGGTATGAGAGTGCTTTCTGAATACTTTAACTAGACTGCCTTTTAGGAGACAGAAAATAAATCTCTGTTATCTACAGCTGGAAAAGCTAAGATAGAAAGAAGGCAATAACTGCCAGTAGCCTGTGTGAAGCATTTGTGTGAACAAAAAAAAGCAGAGGGGGAAACAGCTTTGTCCTGCTTTATTTTCTTGGCTATTACTATCCGAGTCCTGTTGCTTCTTCTTTTTTTGGGGGGGGGGGGGGGGGAGGGAAGGCTACAATCTTCTATTTCAGTGGCTGAGAAGGTTATCTCTTGCTAATGTATTTCACTTTGCTAAATAAAAGCAGGACATTCACATGTTGTGGTGTGAAACAAAGGAGAGCAGTCCACTCAAGCATCAAATACTTTTATATTTGACATTTGCAAGTGTGAAGAAGGGATACCAGTACTACAGTGATGGGATTCAAATTTTTTTACTATGGGTTCTGTGGGCGTGGCAGGGGAAGGATATTGTAAAATCCCCATTCCCCACCCCACCCCACTAACCTGCTTTCCAGCTCCATTCTCCTGTGCAGGGCAACAAAAAAAGACCAAGCCAATCAGCTGGGACTCCGGAGGCAGAGAATAGATGGGGACGGGGCCAGTCAGAGGTGGGATTTGCCGGTTCTCCGAACTGCTCAAAATTTCCGCTACCAATTCTCCAGAACTGCTCAGAACCTGCTGAATACCACCTCTGCACTGCTACTATCCTTCACTTTTGCCAAAGGAACAGATATGAAGTAATTAAGCAGTCATGTAACAAAACCCTCCTAAAATTAATATCCTACAAAATGATTTAAGCCTGCTGAGTCTGTCAGAAAAGAAGCAGTGAACTGCATTGCTAAACTGACGTCTGGCAACCATCATTGAACTTCTCTTCTGATTTCTCTTCAACAATTTTATCTTTTAAAGATACTTCAGAATGAAAACAGAGAAAACAAAAAAGTTGTTTGCAAATTATAAACATAAGAATTTTCAAAAGGGCAGGGGAAAAAAAAATCCCTCTCTTATTCTAGTAGTAACGTTAAAATCAATCAATATATTTCTATCAGTCTGCATCCTGAAAAACTATGATTAGAATCAAGTCAATTTGTTTAAACAAAAAAAAAAAAGCCAGCGAAAATCATATGAATTACCTTTATGACTAATTAGAGAGAACATGATTTATTTGATCTTATGTTAAAGAAAGCCCAAATTTTGGATATGGCAGAATTTTATGTGCAGAATATTAACCCATAAATGCTTTCAAAATTAAATTAACATTGGTACTAGGCTAATTTCTTTAGATGTGAAGTGATATGTGACATTGATGCGTATTCCCTGAGCTTGATCTGCCAGTTCTCAAGAAGAAATTGAATGTTACTTCCAGTGGGAAGTATAAAGCAGCTGTTTATTTATAAACATCCAGATCAGTATTATTAACAAAGTATTTCTCTTTTACCCAGGGAAGAATGAACTACTCTATCCTTCTTCCGCTAGCCACTAAAACATCTGCAGGGGGTTTCACCACTCTCCTATATATAGTTTTCACCTAAGAGCTAACACATAAAACCTACGCTATAAAAAAGCATCAAATTCTAATGAATATGAGTCTAACCAATAAGCAAGGCCTCACCTATTAGTAACGCATTCATACTTCCAGGAAAAGTGACATAACTAACACATATTTGAACACACATCCTGGTTCACACATCTCTAGAAAATCTGCTAGTTGGGGGAGGCTGTCTTAGCAGGAAATAATGACTTGAGTAGAAATTTCTTTATTGTTTAAATATAAGTTAGGGATGAAATATGAGCACACTCAGTGAATAAAGTGATATTCTAGAAAAATGGATAGTGTACATGACCTTGGCTGGGAAAGAAATTTCATCTGGGAGACTTTGCACAAATACTCTAGAACAGCGGTCGCCAACTGGTGGGCCGTGGCCCACTGGTGGGCCGTGAGAAAATGTTGGTGGGCCGCAGAGAAATCTCACCCCAGAGCACCCTCCCAAAGCAATTAATCCAGGCAGCACAGAAACACAAGGCTACGTCATCCACATGGCCCGTGGGAACCTTCCCCACCCACTCACTCCTTACCTGGTAAACTTGCCTGCTAAATTGCTATTTTTCCTTTTTCCAACCATCATCTGTCCTACTGTGCCAGGAGATTTAGATTAGCTAGAAATGGTTGGATTTCTTGCTTTCTAGCTAGTGTTTAGATCTTCGGCTCTGCTTTTAAGTACAGCCGAACCTCCCTTAGGACTGAAGGTTCTACTATTCAGTGCAGACTCATGGCAAGCAAATTTGAGAGACTAAGCTAGCCGATGGCAGACAGATAGATCACTTAATGGTTCTGTGAACAACTCAATCTGCCTAGCTGCTTTGCCTGATTTTGGGTAAAAGTTGCTCTTTTTAAATAAAACATTCAATATTTATATAAATATTTATAATATTTACATACAAGCCACGCCCAGCCAGTCACATGACCACCAAGCCACACCCACAAATTAAGCCTTGCCCACAGAACTGGTTAGTGGTCCCTGGGTTTTAAAATTATGAGTTTGGTGGTCCCTGAGGTCCAAAAGGTTGGAGACCCCTGTTTTAGAA